ATGGGCCCATGATAAAGATATTCTCAACTATGACGGATGGGCCGGGAGGCAAATTATTCCCGATGGAGGCGGGTGGGCCCATGCAGGGAATATATAGAGTAGATGAGTGGGCTGATGTAAATGAATATTAGGTAGACGGGTGGGCCGAGGTAGCTGGATATTATGCAGATGGGTGTATTAAGGTAGATGTGTATGAGATAGATGGGTAGGTACTTGTTATCACATTCACGGGTGGGCCCAGACACATATTAAATTAGACAGGTGGGCCGAGGGTATTATAAAATATTGTATTATACGGGTGGGCCCAGATGCATATTAATTAGACCGGTGGGCCGAGGGTGTTGTATGGGATGTTGTATTAGACGGGTGGGCCGAGGGTGGTATACAATATAGATGGGTGGGCCCATGTGTATCATAATTGTAGACATGATGGAGCTGAGGTAGTTGTACATCAACCAAATCAGAGGAGGTAATAAATCAAAGTTACCAAGTTCCCGGAGCATCAGGTGATCTCCTGACATGGCAGTGCGAAGCTTGTGTTGCCCAACGAGACGCCAAGTTCCGGCCACCAGAATTTGAGTCAACTGTACTGAGTTCCGAGTTCCGGGACCTGGAACTCACCACATAAGTTGGTTAATACTTTTTGATGGTGCACAGGTTGTCTTGCAGAATGTGGAATCCGGGGTGCAAAGCTTGTGTTGCCCTACGAGAAGCCAAGTTCCGACCACCAGAATTGGAGTCAACTGTACCGAGTTCCGAGTTCCGAGTTCCGGGACCCAGAACTCAACACATAATTTAGTTAATACTTTCCGTGTTAAATGGCCAACCAAAGTTGAGATGTTTCTGAAGAGAGCAGCAGGTGCTCTCTTGACATGGCCTCTGATGGTGCTTAGGTTGTCTTGCAGAATGTGGAATCCGCGGTGCGAAGCTTGTGTTGCCCTACGAGAAGCCAAGTTCCGACCACCAAAATGTGAGTCAACCGTACTCAGAGGAGGTAATAAATCAAAGTTACCGAGTTCCCGGAGCAGCAGGTGATCTCCTGACATGGCTGTGCGAAGCTTGTGTTGCCCTACGAGACTCCAAATTCCGACCACCCAAATATGGGTCAACCGTACCGACCTCCGAGTTCCGGGACCCGGGAGTCGACAAATGAATATCTGATGACCAGCGAGTCAACCTTACTCAGAGGAGGTAATAAATCACAGTTACCGAGTTCCCGGAGCAGCAGGTGATCTCCTGATATGGCAGTATGAAGCTTGTGTTGCCCTACGAGACGCCAAATTCCGACCACCCAAACATGGGTCAACCGTACCGACTTCCGAGTACTGGGACCCGGGAGTCGACAAATGAATATCTGATGACCAGCACACTTCCAATCAGGTAGTATTTCATTGAGCAATGGATAATAATACATCTTTGACAGCAGCCAAAATTATCCATGGCTCCCTTATCTGATCCTCTCTATCTCCACCCCCTATAACACCAAAGTCCGGACATCCAGCATTCAGCGTCTGATTTCCCAAGATTAACATCCAGCATGAACGGTTCTTCCCCTTCCCCTCCTGATAGCATAAACATCTGGCGCACTTGGGCCCTGACTGTGACTTATGAAGCAGGGGAATATACTGAACAGAAATTCAAGGCAGAGAAGACTGGAGGAGGCCCAGTCATACCTTCCCCCAACCTAGACACTGATCTGGTGATGGCGTGCAATCGCTTGGCTGATGTACTCATAAAGGCATCTAAAAATCCCAGTGGGTCTTCCTGCAGATTCGGAAAATTCTATTTATCATTCAAATTCCTGCATGACAGTTCAGATGCAGATGGATATTGCAAGATATAGCAAATTGATGTCCCCAAAGGACACCAGGCATAATGAACATAAAGAGGCGAGGTTACTTGAGAAGTGTCCTCCTGGCCATGAAGGCAAAAGGTTGGTCGATGAACCTGCAATAATTCTTGATGCATCCGGTGCCATCATTGCATGGTATCTCCTAGACGCCCTGACAGACACCACCCAGGTGTGTAATATACATTGTTACTCGATGGATATCGAATATTAATGGAACCTACAGAAGGAAATCAGGGAGGCCACCTATTTGCTCTCTCCAAGCCTCGAAAAAAGTGTAAGGGCTGATGGCAATTGGCGAACTAATCAAAGGTTGTTCAACCGGGGCTCGGAAGATGTTGGAGCAACTCCCGGATGCATCAATCTATCTCCGGCATGGTTTCAACAGGGACACGAGGTAGGATCTGATGAGATGGTGATTCTGGCAGTCATACTTACCAATCCCAAAGAATGTGTCCGATACGGAGGTATCTGCATCATTGAAGGGACCTTCCTGCGAGAATATCCTCAAAGCCATTGCAAGGCCAGCAGCCATTGCGTCTGCAGCACTCAGAGTCATGCATCCTGAGCAGTACTGGGCAGGGTTGAGAACCTTGTCAAACCTTGGAAATATAGCAGTAAGCAAGGATCTGCCACAGATGCCGGAGGCCCTGCAGTACTGGGCATCCGTGTTTAACACCCTCTCCATCATTTCCAATCGGGAAACCCCCCATCATCGAGACCACATGTCCATTGCTGAATGCTTCGACATTCTCACCACCGTGGGGGACTATTCTAATGCTCAGATGACAATGCCAAACCTTCAGCTGGAGTTCAAGTACAATTCCGGCTGTATGATTGCGTTTTCCGGAAAGATTGTGAGACATGGAGTGTATGATGTGGAAGGGGATCGGATTGCTTGGGCATGGTATATAAGGGATGCTGTTCATATTTATGCTGGTGTTCCATCATGTGGATGGGCTAGTGTGGATGGTGCATACAGCGTGTGAAAGATCAAACAAAGAGCAAGCATTGTGACCTATATAGATTCCAACAAATGAATACCATGTACCAATTGTGATCTGGACCTCAATACTCAATTTTGAGCATTTCCCAAGTGATATGTGGGACTAAATAATTTGGATGCAAGCCTCGGTATTCGATAATTGGAACTCGGGACTTGACATATGGGAGTCCTGAGTGCCGGGGTACTTAGTCCCGACACCCGGACCTCAGCACGTGATATTTGAGACTGGGGGAAGATGTATAAATACGCTCGAATTAACATTTGTTATTGCCATATACATTTAACAAAACCCTGAACCCCGACATTGTGGACTCCGGACTCGACACTGTTCTGAATACCGAGTTCCGGACGCCCAGGTCCCGAGTCCCGAATTTCGGAGGTCGGGGTTCGGAGACCCGGAGCTCGGCAACTGTGTTGGGTGTCAGGGTATCCAGACCATTGGAGATAGCATGTGTCAGTATTTTGCGTTTCATGGTTTATGTTGGGTGAATATGGAATCGGGGATCAGGGACTCGGTATTCAGAACAGTGTCAAGTCCCAGGTCACGAGCTCCGAGTCCCGAGTGCTGAACCCTGAGTCCCGAGTCCCGAATTTCGGAGGTCGGGGTTTGGCGACCCGGAGCTCGGCAACTGTGTTGGGTGTCAGGGTACTCGGAGCATTGGAGATAGCATTTGTCAGTATTTTAAGTTTCATGGTTTATGTTTCGTGATTATGGAATCAGGTGTCAGGGACTCGGTATTCAGAACAGTGTTGAGTCCCAGGTCATGAGCTCCGAGTCCTGAGTCCCGAAACCCACACCCAGCAGTTGCCGAGCTCCGGGTCGCTGAACCCCAACCTCCGAAATTCGGGACTCGGGACTCAGGGTTCAGCACTCGGGACTCGGAGCTCGTGACCTGGGACTTGACACTGTTCTGAATACCGAGTCCCTGATCCCCGATTCCATATTCACCCAACATAAACCATGAAACGCAAAATACTGACACATGCTATCTCCAATGGTCTGGATACCCTGACACCCAACACAGTTGCCGAGCTCCGGGTCTCCGAGCCCCGACCTCCAAAATTCGGGACTCGGGACCTGGGCGTCTGGGACTCGAATGTGAGATTTTTGAATGCATAGAATATGTTACATCTTGTATACAATGAAGAGTGAATGGGACTACACTCCTTTGCCTTTCCTCAATTTCTCTAACATGTCAGTGTACATCTTCACCTCTCCCATCTTAGCTTCGATGCCCTGATCTTGCTCCTCCAGCAATGCTTCCATGCATTCTTTGATGAATCTCAGTCCCATGAGTGGTGGAGTCGAAGTGTTTTTCAACTTCTCTGGAAGTACCAAAGCATCATCCTCAACATTAAGCTGAAACAGATAAGTCATCAATCAAGGTAATTCAGCTGACATCTTACCGCCCAATACTGGTAGTGAGAGATGCAGGAAGCCATTATTTCATCCCACTGCCATGGTTGATCAGGGATTGTGGTGTTTCCCATCCACCATGGACATGTATATGCGAACACAATCTGGGACGGATGTCCTGCAATTGGCTCATCATGAAATGAAAGGAGGTGGAATGAAAAGATGTCGTCCGGAACAGTGTTCCAGGTCAGCATGGGATACAACTTAAGGATATAAGCGACAGGGACCGGAAGAACTGACACAATATTCTGTGAAGCGGAGTACTGCAGGAGTGGTGTGACAAATGTCTGCTCAAATTCTTAGCATTGACCAACAAAGTCATCAGGGCAGTGGTGACATACATTCATCTCCCATTGCAGCCCGGCTTTAAAATACTTGATCCGGTCAGCAGATAGACCATTGTTGGCAGCTTCCGTCCGATATTGAGAGATGATTGCATGGACGCGCGATCCAGCCATTGCCAATGTGCAGGAAATAGTTGCAAGGCTCAGCTTCAGAGGTCGGTAATGGCTTCTGGGATTCAGAGTGCCAGAAGTGGATGCATGAGATGCAGACATGGCTAATACAGGACTATGGCGCTGGCAATACAAGTGAAAGATGGTCAAGATGTGAAGATAAGAATCACTGATGGATGGATACAAAATTCAAACTCCGACATGGGCTGACCCGGACAATTCCCGGGCGTCAATTATGTATGTGGAAAAAGGGACTTCATGAGAAAACAATGTTCATTCATCTCCAGCCTCTATCAACACGTTTTGTAGGTCTTGAAAAGCTGCCTGCACATCCTGTGCCAGCAATGAATACATGTGGGATTGCCTTCCGGCGTAGCATCCGTGACCTGGAAGTCGTTTCTCCAATGATTCCTGCATGTGCTCGCCCCATATGGTTGTTTTCCACAAAAAGAACTTACATGTCCAATCCATCTCCAATGTGACCAATAGCATTTCTTCCCTCCATCGATCCCGTAGTGCCTTTGCCCTCAGCCAATGGACTCGGTAAACTTGGCATGGGTCCAGTCAGGTAACCGTGGGATATGACATGCAAGCGGGAACTCACATTCTTCATTCCACGATTGATCAGGACCCCCGAGGTCGACTTCAACAGACCAAAACCAAGCCAAAGATTCATTTCGTTGACCTCGGGCATTTGGGTCGCCCACTGCAGTGCTGATTTTGAGTTGCTCGCGAAGCAGGGGTTTGTATTTCTGAAGCTGGTCTTGCCCCGGCTCAAGTTTCATCATTTGCTTCCTTGTCTTTGTATATATGCTGGCATGGAGGGAGACTGCCTGCTGCATCGACGTCACCTGGGACCAAGCTCGAGTTTTCAGGGCCTGGGAATTGGCCTGCCTAACGGTTGTTCGGAACAGGATGGCCTTGTTGCAAAGGTAAATGCGGAGATTGTGAAGGGCATCATTGGCCTGCCCTTCACGAAGTGACATCTCCAGGGGAATCAGATCCTCTGCCATGCATCATCTGCATCTATCAACCCCCAGGTTTGATGGCAATGGGATTACAGTTAGCTCGGGAGAGTTTGTCCATGTGTGAGATGTCTCTGTGAAATCCGCCGGGTCATCATCGAGATCATCTAGAATGTCTACGTCCAAGTCTTCAGGTTCATCATCTGCATCAAATCCCTCCCCGAGATGTGTTAGAGCAGACCGAGCAAATCCATCTATCTGGCCTTGGAGCCGATCTCTTTGACAGGCGATGTCTAATCTCTGTGTCTCGGTGGATCTTCTTCCGATCCTTCGGACCTCAATGAGCAATGCAATCTGAGCCTCTTCAATTGCTAACCCTGTTGATATCCATGTCGCCACAGATCTGCGAGAGGGTGCTGCATTGCGGGCGTTACCCTCCTCTAACAATCTAAGCTCGATCTCCTTTTTGCTAGGTGCTGAGTGCAATATTAATTCAGTCCTCGACGGAGACAATGGAACTCAACGTACCCTTTTTGATATTGATCTCATATTCATCCATGGCTGAAGGATCATTCAATCTGCTTGACTGAGCTATCCTCTCCCTGGCTAACCATTCTGTCTTCAAATGTGAGGGTGCTGCTTCATCGAGTCTGTCGAATGCCTTTCCACTTTCTAAGATACCATTCCTAGCCAGTTTGTATTTCCGGCATAGAGTCCTTTTCATGCGAATCATCTTGCAGAAATTGGAGTCATTCATCTGATAATCAAGGCATTCCTTTTGGTGGGGAGATGACATTCCCCGAGCAGCAGGGGAGATCAAATTGAGCCGTGCCCATAGCGTCTCCATGATCTCTCCATCGATCCGACCAATGCCTTCAATAAAGTTAGAAGCATATCGGACATAGCAGCTGTCCTGATGGCCATGAACGTGCCACAACCCAATTCCGGGAATGATGGTTAGTTGTGGTGCCATTTCTAGAAATCGACTTCGATCCACCCGAACCCGAAAGTGTTTGTTGTATTGACAATTAATATCATAGAAGGTGACAGCCCTGGTGATGCCTTCCATGTTGTGCCGGGAAGCCTTGCAAAGGGCATAGTCCATGTTCATTTGTCTGCAAGTGACCCATGGTTAACTCGTGAATGGGGAATGGTGGATGTGGCTTGCCTTTCGCCTTTCTGAAAATCCACCATGGAGTGAGGGACAAAGCAACGAGCCCCTTCAGTGACAAATTCCGTATTATACGGGCCACCCGACCTCCATAATATCCCGTATGAGACGGGCCAGCTGATCATGGGCCCATGTTATGTATATTCTCGATGATGACGGATGGGCCGGGACACATATTATTTCTGATGGAGACGGGTGGGTCCATGTATGCCAATGATATATATATCCTTAATGTTGACGGATGGGCCGGGGGAATATGATCATTCATGGAGATGGGTGGGCCCATCTGGGTAATATGTAGAGTAGGATATTATAGACAGCTGGGCTGAAGAGAGATGTAAGGCAAATATTGTTATATAGACGGGCGGGCCGACGTGGGTGTATTACATATATGGGTGGGCCGAGGTAGGGAAATATTACATAGACGGGTGGGCTGACGTAGGGTGTATTACATATACAGGTGGGCCGACGTGGAATGTATTACATATACGGGTGGGCCGACGAAAGGGATATCAAATAGACCGGTGGGCCGAGGGTGCTATAAAATATTTATTACATAGACAGGTGGGCCGAGGTGGGGTATAATTATATAGACAGGTGGGCCGATGCAGGATGTATTATATAGACAGGTGGGCCAACATAGGATGTATTACATACAGTGGCTCAAAAAAGTGTCCCAATGTTTGTAGCTTTTCATGTAATTGCTATATCATGTGTCAAGACGTGGGAATATGACTAAGCTATAGGAAGATGTCGGAAAGGTCTGCTTCTCAGCTTCATTTCGGTTCCATATACCGTGGGAATATAATGACATTGTGTGAAGATATGAGTATTTTTATTTGATGACTCATTGGGACACTTTTTTGACTTTGAGTTTAACCAATGTAATCTCTATAATTCTAGTACTGTGTGTGACCTCCTTCTGCCCCAATAACTTCTGCCACTCTTCTAGACATATTCTGTATCAATTTTGGATATTCCTCTTTGGTGATTCCATCATACTCTGCTGTAACACTGTCTCATAGTTGGAATAGCCCCTATGGTGAATCTTGATATGCTACAAGTAATTTCTTGAGTGATTCTCAGAGGTATTCAATAGGATTGATGTCTTGGGCCTATGCTGAACATGATAGAATAGTAATATTATGGTCTTTAAGTTATTTGGTAGCCAATCTAGAAGGTTGCTCTATAAGACTTAAGATCTCTTAATCATTATATTCTAATTAGAAAGGCTGCTGATGTTAATGAAGTGACTAAATGGATTATTTCCATCATTCCTATGACTATCTCTACTCAAATAGTCAGACAGACTCTCAAGACAGCCCATCTTAAAGCTATAATCAAGAAAAACAGATTCTTCTGTCTCCAACCTATAAAAAGAAAAGACAAGATGCTACTTTCAAGTACAAATATTGGACTGCTAATAACTGAAAGAGGTTTATCTAGTTAGATAAGGTTAAAATCAACAGGATGAGATCATATGGCAAGGAATTTGTATTAAAATAGATAGGACAATCATTAAGATAAAGAAAAGTTAAATAAACACCTTAAGTTTCAAGACGAAAACTTGATGGTATAGGACTATATGAGATAAAATGGAGTGGGAATCTTCTATGAAGCAAAGGGGAGGATGAATATAGAGTAGTAAATACACATTTGACAGGAGTGTCTGCTAAGAAGCATGCAGGAGTTATGAGTTAATGAAGAAGATACTGTTTTGTGATAAGACAATGACCCTAAGTATACCTCTAAATCAGCCACCAATAGCTTGCAGACCATGATATTACTATTCTATCATGTTCAACATAGACCCAAGACATCAACCTCATTGAATACCCCTGAGAATCACTCAAGAAATTACTTGTAGCATATCAAGATTCACCATAGGGGCTATTCCAACTATGAGACAGTGTTACAGCAGAGTATGATGGAATCACCAAAGAGGAATATCCAAAATTGATACAGAATATGTCTAGAAGAGTGGCAGAAGTTATTGGGGCAGAAGGAGGTCACACACAGTACTAGAATTATAGAGATTACATTGGTTAAACTCAAAGTCAAAAAAGTGTCCCAATGAGTCATCAAATAAAAATACTCATATCTTCACACAATGTCATTATATTCCCACGGTATATGGAACCGAAATGAAGCTGAGAAGCAGACCTTTCCGACATCTTCCTATAGCTTAGTCATATTCCCACGTCTTGACACATGATATAGCAATTACATGAAAAGCTACAAACATTGGGACACTTTTTTGAGCCACTGTAGATGGGTTGGCTGATGTGGGGGATAATACATAGATGGGCGGGCTGACGGGGGTGTATTACATATATGGGTGAGCCTAGATATGTTCCATCAAGACATACAGCTGATGTAGCCACCAGCGAATCAAACACATAGGATACATGTACACTATGAGTGCATATACCTACCATCAACCACCAAATCTAAACCCCTAAGCACAAAAACATGAATCGATCATGTGTGGCATTGACCAATAATCCAGGACTGAAGTGGAAAAACCCCATACCTGAACCCTGGTGTGCAACAAATCCTATTTCTAAGCATGGACACCAGAAGCACAACACTCACAAAAATATATATGTCAAATTTTCAGTGCCAAACCCCAAACCGAGATGTACCAACCCCTGAAACCCGAAACCCGAGACTGCCGGGTCTCAGGTATCGGGTGTCCGGAACTCGGAACTTGGGAGAATTTGGGGAGATCAATACAATTTAATTTACAATCGAGTTGATTGACAACACATTGACTTACCCATGTTTGCAATATATTTTTGTTTAGACATACCGAGTTCCGAGTTCCGGACACCCGATACCCGAGACCCGAGACTGCCGGGTTTCGGGTGTCGGGTGTCCGGAACTCGGAACTTGGGAAAGTTTGGGGAGATCAATACAATTTGATTCACAATCAAGTTGATTGACAAACACATTGACTTAACTATGTTTGCAATATATTTTTGTTTAGACATACCAAGTTCCAAGTTCCGGACCCCCGGACCCCGAAACCTGAGACTGCCGGGTCTCGGGTATCGGGTGTCCGGAACTCGGTATGTCTAAACAAAAATATATTGCAAACATAGTTAAGTCAATGTGTTTGTCAATCAACTTGATTGTGAATCAAATTGTATTGATCTCCCCAAACTTTCCCAAGTTCCGAGTTCCGGACACCCGACACCCAAAACCCGGCAGTCTCGGGTCTCGGGTATCGGGTGTCCGGAACTCGGAACTCGGTATGTCTAAACAAAAATATATTGCAAACATGATTAAGTCAATGTGTTGTCAATTAACTCGATTGTAAATTAAATTGTATTGATCTCCCCAAATTTCCCCGAGTTCCGAGTTCCGGACACCCGATACCCGAGACTGCCGGGTGTCAGGTGTCGGGTGTCCGGAACTTGGAACTTGGGAAAATTTGGGGAGATCAATACAATTTGAGTCTCGGGTATCGGGTGTCCGGAACTCGGAACTCGGGGGAAATTTGGGGAGATCAATACAATTTGATTCACAATTGAGTTGATTGACAAACACATTGACTTACCCATGTTTGAAATATATTTTTGTTTACACATACTGAGTTCTGAGTTCTGGACCCCCCAACCCCAAAACCCGAGACCCAGCAGTCCACAATTCTGGGGTTCAGGGGTTGGCAAAATGTGTATGAATATATGAAAGGTTGAATGAAACATTTTTGAAAGGTGTCTCATATCAAATGTTAAGTCCCGAGTTTCGAATTTCGGGTTTCAAGACTCCAGGTTTCGGGACTCGGCACTCCCGAAATCCAGAAGTTGAAACTCGGGATTTGACATTTGATATGAGACATCTTTCAAAAATGTTTCATTCAACCTTTCATATATTCATACACATTTTACCAACCCCCGAACCCCAGAATTGTGGACTGCCGGGTCTCGGGTTTCAGGGTTCGGAGGTCCGGAACCCGGAACTCGGAACTCAGTATGTGTAAACAAAAATATATTTCAAACATGGGTAAGTCAATGTGTTTGCCAATCAACTCAATTGTAAATCAAATTTTATTGATCTCCCCAAATCTCCCCAAGTTCCGAGTGCCGGGACCCCCGAACCCCGAACCCCGAGACTGCTGGGTCTCGGGGTTCGGGGGTCCGGAACTCGGAACTCGGTATGTAGAACAAAAATATATTTTAAACATGGGTAAATCAAATTTTATTGATCTCCCCAAATTTCCCGAGTTCCGAGTTCCGGGACCCCCGAACCCCGAGACCTGGCAGTCCACAATTTCGGGGTTCAGGGGTTGGTAAAATGTGCATGGATATATGAAAGGTTGATTGAAACATTTCTGAAAGATGTCTCATATCAAATGTCAAGTCCCGAGTTTTGATTTCCGGGTTTCAGGACTCCGGGTTTCGGGACTCCGGGCTTCGGGACTCAGCACTCTTGAAACCCGGAAATCGAAACTTGGGACTTGACATTTGATATGAGACATCTTTTAAAATGTTTAAACCAACCCTTCATATATCCATACACATTTTACCAACCCCCGAACTCCGAAATTGTGGACTGCCGGGTTTCGGGGGTCCGGGGTCCCAGAACTCGGAACTCGGAATTTGGTATGTAAGACAACAAAAATATCTTTCAGGGTTCAGGGGTTAGTGAAATGTTTATAGATATACGTAGATTAATTCAAACATGTCTGAAAAATTTCGTTCATCTCAAATGTCAAATCCTGAGTTCCGGACTTTGGGACTCAGCACCCGGCAGTCAGGGTTGGGGGTTCGGCACTGAAAATTTGACATTCGGGTGTTCAGGTTTTGGGTGATATCTAAATCAACAACTTCGAGTTCTGCCAAAGCGTGAAACTTGAAACCCAGTGTGCAACATGTTGATTTTTCATTTATATCACACAAATCATCGAGTTCCGAGTGCCGAGGGCTGAGACCCAAAGCCTG